CCCCCCTCACCCTCTCTCTGTCTCTGTCTCCTTTTCTCACCCTTTCTCCCTTTCTTTATGTGAAAGTGTTCGAACGCTTGTCTGTTTTGCCTGTGTGTTGTCTTCCCACCATGTACTTTTAAAACATTGATTACCTCTACATCGATTTATCTTTTTTAAGTTAAATGCCTAATTTCTGTACCCCAGAGCCCAAGGCATTTCTTCTCTACGAGTATAAGTAGAAATAATCGTTTTAGACCTTTACTCCTACTCAATGACCATCTTTCTTCGTACATGTAACACTTACATTTTTTTCATAGATGAGTAGGAAGACCTGAACTTTCACGAGGAACTAAAAAAAGGTCAAAGTTGCGAGGAATGACGGAAATCCATTTTTCAAAGGTAATGTGCTTAATTCATTTGAGAGTATTAGCACTTTGAGTGCCAACATTTTTTCCTCTCTATACGATGGGGTCCGCTTAAAGTGAACTCTTTGGGACAAGAAGAAAGTGTTCACTTTATCCGAGGTTCAGTTTAACCCTTTTGGTAGGGTGGAGGCTTAGAAACAGTAGCAACGCGCAGTGGTGGCTCCTGGGTGGAGGTGGGGTGGGTGGACAACCCAGCAGGCGAGTCTGGACTGGAGCTCTTTCTTTCTGATTGAGATTGCCGTCGCCAACGCCGAGCTGGGATTGTCTGCCGATGCCCGAGGCAAAGACTTTTATTTTCACAGCAGGGCGACAGTGACATGGTCGGTCCGTTCTTAGCTTTCATCCTTTTTGGGAGGTTCACTTTATCCGATTTCCCAATGAAACCGGTTCATTTTATCCACTATTTTTTTTCTAAACCGGGAACGCAGAATATCGTACCGATTGTTCAATTTATTTAAAATAAAGCACGTTCACTTTAGGCGGACCCCACTGTATTTCCTCAATGCCAGAACCTTTTTCGCATATAGTACAACAAAAATTTGCTAAGAAGAAAATATTCCTGTAGAAAATGCTAGTTTCCCATATATAAAAAACACAGTTAAGCTATATCTAACCCAAAACCTTTTGAATAAAGTCTCAAAGTTTTTTTTAAACACTTGATCCACATTCTGTAAATCAAATGATGGTGGTTTCAGTTAATAATTTCTCCTTTAAAGAATTTCTGAGAGATACGTATATTGCATTTCCCTTTCGTAGTTATCGTCGGGTTACAAAATTCATGCATGTACAACAAGACAAGATTTTAACCGTCACTTTAAGAAATTTATTCTCCATAACAAACAACTGGACCAGCGTCTATGATGTAGTAGTTATGTGCCAGGCCGTCACACACAGAAGAGCTGAATTTAATTCCTGTATGGGGAGCATTAAAAAAAATTAATCACAATATCTCGGTCTTTCTGCAAGGACATTGTGTCCCTTTCGGCTCGGGGTGGCCCTGGCAGGTAGGGTCAAAGTCGAACCTCGCCTCCTAAAAATGACCTAAACTGTGTCGATGGGGGCGTGACAGACTTACATTTACCCCTCCCCCCCCCCCCTTCCCAGATTTTAACAGTATCGAAACGAGCAATCGATAGTACTTCTGGGGTGAATATTTGTCTGCCAAGGTTTCTTCCAGACAATCACTATTTAGTGTCTACTGTCTCCACCAAGTCAGCACTAGGAAGGTAATTATTGTAGACCACCAGACCTTGGACTTTCATGCACTTGAGACTAATATCTAATATCTACAAGACAAGAACAAAATACATGTAGATCTAGAATCTAGACATCTAAATTCACTTATTGACATGCATCTTCCCGTTTCCCAAAGCTTCATTACATGTATCCTTTATGTTCTGATTGCTACGTCAGCACTGCCTCGTTGTACATGCATGACATCTGGAGTTTATTTTGAGTTTGTAAAGACCTTCGATGTGGTACCCAATATTGAAAAAAAACCTGCCGGTTTTGGGTGGCATTGCCATTTTTTTCTCGATTTTAGCGCCCCCCCCCCCATTCCAAGCTATCTACAAGCCAGTACAGTAGTTGGATGGCTCCTTTTCTTTTCCTCCTTTATTTCTGTCGATGTAACTTGCTATACCCTTCACTAAATTACTGTTATCGTGTCAAGGCGCTTGCCTTTACTTGAACCTCAAACACAAACTCTAATTTAACTTAGTGACGACCTACTTTATTCATCCTCATACGAAGAATCGTTGTATAATGACATTCTTTCCAAATACATGTATATAGAGGCACACTTCAATAATACACTTTCAACATATTAGCTTCTGCAAACACATCTTGCCCAAGTTCACATAATAATAGTCACCTATCAGAATGCTGTCGTTGGCACAGAAAGCTAACGCCTCTGGATAAAGCATGGATACAGTGTTAACGTTTGTCTCTTTCAATATTTGAAAGCAGTAAACGAATTCCCTGACTGGTAAGCGTAGATGCTTACCGTGCACTAGTAAGATGGGTACATGCAAAGAGGTTGGGAAAAAATTCAAGCTTTTCTGTGCCACAAACATCATTCTTCTCTTGACAAAATCAAACGACATACTGTCTGCAGTGTTTTCAAATTTACTTCCTGGTAAAACTTTTATTTTTCTTTAATGCCAGGAACACATATCCAAAAACAAGTACGATCTATATCATTGGACTTATGTATAGAGAGCTCGGAAGACAAATCCTGCAAAGATTGTTTCGAAAGTTGTTCAGCAACTCCTGAACATGTACCACAAAGTCGTAAGTCGTTCACGCTGTGCGTTGATGTATACACCCTGTACATGTACCACTTAGGAGTAGATAAAAAAATTGTTGAGAGAACAAAAACAAATCTGTAAACACCATTCTTAGTTTCCGTCTTCTAATCCGTGGTGTTTCATCAGTTTCTTGTGTGGAGCTTTTCGAAACTGAAAATATCACATCGTCCACGTCCAATTACAAAGTACACCGATTCAGGTAGCCATAAGAAGTCAGTAATGAAGCGAATCAGTAATGAAGGGAATCAGGAATGAAACGATGAAACGTTCGAGGATGAAACTTGTAGAGAAAACCGAGGCAGTGCATGGCGAATATATCGACAGTCTTTCAGCTCCTCCCATTCGGAGTCCGTAATAGGTCCCCTTATTTTGGTAGGGGTGAGAAATTCGCGGCACTGTAAAGGCCGCTGAGCGATAGTGTACACCTTTGGAAGGAGAATAGGCGGAAGTCGCAGAGGTCGCTTCCGCTTGAGGCGTGCGCTGCTTCCTCTATCGAGTTCATCAACTTGGGGAGATAACTCCGAAAACGACTGAGCTTTGACAGAAATCTGGAGCATCGATGACGCATTACTGACGCTGCCCGTGAGACCCTTGTCTGTTTGAATTCTGGGGAACTGTGTGTCATAATTGTCTGAAGAAGAATGTGCCCTGTGCGGCTCCAGTTCGCGGTTTGTCGTTTCTAATGACGGCAGCTTATAGGTCAAGTCATCGTGGTGCTCAGTACCGTCGCAGTCTTCAGGGCTGTCGTCGTCCAGGACCTGGGGAATAGAGTGGCAAATTTAAGGCAAGTCAGTTATGAAATTATTTGTTCTTTGTAATTATGATAACTGACGTTCTGTCCAGATCAGCCAAGTATAATTCACTAGAGCTGGAATTGCATACAACAGCATGCGCCGGTGCGCACGTGTGTATGTGTGTGTGTGTGTGTGTGTGTGTGTGTGTGTGTGTGTGTGTA